AAGTGATTGCATTAATTTTGACTCACACTGTAGAACCAAAGGCCAGTTTCATCAACTATTTTGTAAGGTGGTGTTTGGGTTAGATGAAGATAATTCTTTTCTTGTTCAGGCCGTCATTGTATGGTTTTAATGAAGCAGAGGTTCTACCTTCTAAAAGCATTACTCACATTAGCAGTGCTCAAGAAGCCCCCTCGGCATTCTCAAAGAACACGTGTAAGAACAGTGGAAATTTCCCCACACTATTGCACCCACTGGCCATGGCTTGAAGCAGCCACATGTAATTGAGAACAAAAGCTTCATACGTGCACAGCTGCACATCAGACCCCCTTCACATTGACACTGAGTGGGCAGTCACCAGGATTTATGGCCAGAAGGTACATAAGCATGCAGGGTACCATGGCCAATGCATGTGTTTTTGCTACCTCTTTATATATTCAATGAATGTATGAGGATTTGATCTGAATATCTCTACTTTTACATGCCAAAGTAGAATGAGTAAAACAGGACTCTGAAACATCAAGACTGCATAACCTTCTAATGGTGTTACCAGTTGATTGGGAATAGTCATAGAACCTTTACTCCAGTCTATTTCCCAGGTAGCCAATATGATGTACAGGAGTTCACATACATGATCATCACTTGATGGCTCTGTATATCACCCAGCAATGAATATCATGGGAAAGACCCTTCACAGGTCATATTCAGATGGAACTTTCACATCACTTCACATCACTTCAGGCAAAGGCTCTTCAGCGCAGTCAGTTCACACATTCAGTTGTGAGTCATCAAGCCCCATATAATCAAGACACAAGAAACCAAGTGAACCAAATGTAAATGTGAACATAATCCTGACAACAGTAGAAGAGTGGGCATGCATGGAGTTTACCATCTTAATGACTATGCTGATATCTCCCTCTAGTGGCAAACCTTCATCCACTCAAAGCAATATGTTCCTAGTGTTTATTTTGTTTAAAAAAAAACATAGAAAACAAAATAAATTGCACTTTCCTCTTCATGTACAGGAGGTAAGCATTTTTTAAAATGCTTAAAATATGCCATGTCCCCATTACAAAATATCTGAGCACAGAATGTGGATGCAAAGATAATAGAACAACGTTATGACACAACTGTGTACAACATGTGCTAAAACTGACCTGTTTTCCATCTTTCCTCCCCGCGTACCATCCCAAAAACCTTACTGAGCTTCTGTTTCAGGCTCTTATTCCCAAATAGTGGCCATGAACATACTCCTGGCTCTTAGAAACAAACAGGCAAACATGTTTGACAACAGATTGTGCTCCTGGTGGCACACCCATGATGAAATAAGCAAATGTGCCAGAAATACAAAAGTACAACAAAGATTTATGCAAGAGTTGTGTGGCGCAATGGTGTTCTCATCAGAAGAGTCCCACTGGATGTTGTTTTTTAAGACCAAATCCATGCTGGCAAATGGATTCTGGAAGTTATAGTTCAAAAAAACTAACTTTTCATGCTCCAGTTGTGACAGTTCTTAATTATGCTTTTAACCAGCTCTGCTCATGTTGCTAACCAGCTGAATTTATACACATGTTTTCAAAAATTTAGCCAACTAGTTCAGCTTTAACCATCTGAACCAGAACCTATAAATATTACTTTGGCTATATGGCAGGTAGATTCTGGAAACTGTAGTCCACAAGTGACATTTCTAAGTTCTATAGAAAAGAGGAAAGAAATGGAGAACGTTATAGTAGAGATACTTCCTCAAGCAAAATAGTTGAAATCCTATTTGCCCAAGCACATCAGGAGCAGGTTGGTGATATCATGAGCAGATATTTCCTTTTTTTTTTTCCCCTTCAGCTCCCGTATAATTCCTTTCATTGTTTGGAAACTGTGGGAGCTTTAGGATGCAAGGAGGAAGCCTTTAATTATTGAAAACCACAGTAATGTTATTCTGATGGCAACCATTTCCAGTAACTGGTGACTTTCTCCTCCCATCCAGTTTCCACATGACAAAATGGGAGGCCCTGGGAGCCACAGGACAGAAGTAGGAAATATTTAATTTCTGAAAGTTGCACCCCCCCTCACTGCTCATGGCATCATCTGCTTTCCACAGGCATAGTTGTATGAATAGGATTTTAGCTGACATCTCATACATGTTAAGAAATAAGAACCACTTCCATTTAGATTAGGAAATTCTTTTCAATGAGATTCATACACCATCTGTCCCTAGTTTTTCACCCATTTTAGTACCCTTTTAGTTCTCTACCCCATCAAGAGTGATGCAATACTGGTACTCTCCAGTGGCAAAGCAATTGTCTTCTTAACTTGCCTGAAAGAAACAAACACACTTCCATGCCTCTCCTCTAGGAAATATGGTAACAAGTCTGTGAAGGAAAGAGAGATTTATTCGGGATTTTCAAATTGACCTCACCGGAGTTCAAGCTTGGAAGTATTAAAACATTTATGAAAAGCAGTTATGGAGTCTGAACAGTATCCTCTCTTAAACATTAATGTCTAGGTAATATTAAAGGTGATTTGTTTTAAAATGGGGAAGGAGCCTGCTTGGATTAAGGCCCAAACACCTGCCAAGTCCTACTGGTCTTTTTAAAACCTGTCAAGGAGTCTCAAAGAATCCAGGCACAGAGGGGAGAGCAAGGCCAGTGAAAACGAAGCCAGACTGAACACCCATATGGCAAAGCTACAGAAATGAGGGTGAATGTTTTTTTAAAAAAAGAAAGGCAAAGAGGAAAAAAATGGACAAAAAGACCTAGCCACCATGATAGAATCACCTTCCAGTCTGCTGTGATGAAAGGTCCACCATAGTTTGTTTAGACTGGAACTTTATCCTGTCTCCCTTGGTGTATGCATGCCTTAGAATAGTGAGGGAGGGGATCTAGGTTTCAACTATTGCTTCAGTCAGCCTTATACAGTGAAGCAATTTTGCGGCAGTTAACAGGAGAAAATAATAGGTTAGGCAACCCAGTGTTTGGAGGATGGTATGAACCACGACCAGCATAGCTAATCGCTGATATTTATTAGAAATGTAGTCCAAAATCGCATAGAGGGCACTGGCTTGCCTGCCACTTACCGGTATTAAAGGAATACTCAAGTATCCCATTATTCAATCCAAAAGGTGGTGGATTTCTGCTGGGAAAATATTTCCTGCTGCCATCTTCACCTTACAAAGAGAAGGGGAATAGACGTTTGCAGTGGAGATATCGAGAGAGTTTGTTGAGACGTTTCAAAGACCTTCCTAAAAAGTAATTGAATGAGACTGCACTATAAGCGGGAATCTAATAGACCTAGGCATTATGCCTACAATCTGACTTGGGTATATTCTAGAGATGGGGGTATTCGGATACGAATATCCCCGCACAAGTGGAGTTAATGAGGGTCCAGCCCAATGGGGCCAGATGGTCCACTTGCCAATCCACCGTGGACGCGGACGGCACGATTCTACCAATGGCTCCGCAGTGCGCGATTCGCTCGCCACTCCTGGCAGGAGCGGGAGGACAAGCGTCACTACAAGGTCAAAGAGTGGCAAGCGTTTTTTTGGGTTTGTCTTTCATTTCATGCCCATCTCTAGTTGACAAATATTCTGTCACATTTTGCTTCTGGCAGAAGCTGAAAATCTAGCACTGCAAAATGGAATACAATACTCAAGGATTACCATTTTTACCACCTTGTCCAATTTAAATTCTGTTGACTTTGTTTCAAAGTTTGGAAGTTATACAGTAACAATTTGATGAGTAATATGCCACTTTCGGGGTAAAGGGGACATAACAATGGTTGTTTTATGCAATACTATGATTGATTAGTAATGCCATTAATTTTTTGACATAACAAGTAAATGTTACATTAGGTTGGCCATCGGGGCCACTTTTCTCTCTTGCATTTAATTGAAAAATAACACTTTCATACCATTTTACTAATGTATTACTTGTGTTAGTATTTAGCAATAATGTTCCAGAGTCTGTATTTTTCACTCAGTGCACCAGGTTTGCTAATATGAAAACTGCTATGTTTCTCTTTCATTCTCTCTCAATCAAGGAACTTGCTTGTTCTTCGCTTAAGGTTAGAAATAAGGTCAGGTAACTATTGGATTTTACTTTTCAAAAATGTCAGGAATCAGGAGCTGTAGTTTGCAAAAATCCTGAGTGTAAGTCAAAACTGGTATGGTGATGAATACTCATGATAGTTTGTTCTGATTTTTTAATTATTTGATGATTTTATTATTGTTTCCTGTGTCTCTCTGCCGTTTGTGTGTGTGTGTGTGTGTGTGTGTGTGTGTGTGTGATTTGTTTACTACCCAGAATACTGTCTAGCACTAATGGGGCAGTATATAAATTAAATAAATAAGTACATTTTTAAAAAGATAAATAAGGAAAGTCTAAACCATTTAGATTTGTACCTCCTGTTAAGATTCTGGCTTTATTATTAAAATATCAAATCAAATGCTTCTTTTATTCCTCCTCCTTGCCTCTGTTTTAACCCTGGTTTTGCTTTTGGGGGGGTTGCAATATATTGCCCACTGAAGAAATTTAAAAAGCTTGTCCACAATGTTGTGCATATTTTGTTAAGTCTGATAAAGATACTGATTTCTGAGGATTTTCTTATTTTTATAAAATCATGGACCACTACTGGCTCCTCCCCTTATTAATGATGATTACCGGTGGTCAAGCAGACAATACATTAAGCATGATTCTCTAAAAGTCGCTCCCATAAGTGAAAAAGATGTCTATCTCAGCACCGGATTTTCCTTAAATATGTACCTTGTGTTTAGATGCTTTGTGTGTGATTGGCCACTGAATGGTAAAAATATTCTTAATTTTCAGCTATTGAATATAAGAGATGTATATCTATGAAAAAAAATCCACTTGTGAGATGGGAAATTGATTAACATTTGAGAAAATGCATTCTGATGAAGGTCTACTTTGGCCCTGAAACTACCATCTCTTCTGCATTCTGGAGTGTCAGGGGAATGGGCAGTTGTTCATGGAATGTTTGGTTTCAAATTGCAAGCATCTTGTTTATTTCAGGAGAAATAACTGAAGAAACCAACTGGTTGAACCAACAGCTCTTTTAGTTATGCCTCAAGAGGTAAGACAAGACAGAGGTACTTAAGAGTCATCCACCTACACTACAGTTCTTGTTCTGGCACAGTGAGTAAATGTGGGCATTTCAAAGATTATACAGATTTATTGCTTTATTTCTCAGTTTGGTTTGTATTCTGTCTCTGCCCCCACCTTTTTTTACTGTGATTCCCTACCAGTCATAAAATACAACTATTTCAATTAAAAGTCTAGCTAAAAAAAACTCCACCAGTACGGCATTTGGGATCTCTGAGGAAATATATTGGCCTGGGTGTGGTGGAGATTAGAAAACAAGAGTTGGGATTGTGACGCAGAATTTTAAAAGACCAAGTTCATAAAGACAGGTAGCACGCTGTAATTTTTATAGAACTACATTGTAACTAGGCAAGGCTGAGGCTGAGAAGATTCCCACATGGTCTCTTATCTCAAACAAGCCAGCCTTAGAAGGTTATTGAGAGGATAAAGAACAGAGGAGAGTAGTATAGTGCTCTCAGCTCCTTAGACTCTGAGGCTTAGTTGTTGTTTAGTCATTTAGTTGTGTCCGACTCTTCGTGACCCCATGGACCAGAGCACGCCATGCCTTCCTGTCTTCCACTGCCTCCCAGAGTCAGGTCAAATTCATCTTGGTTGCTTCGATGACGCTGTCCATCCATCTCATCCTCTGTCATCCCCTTCTCCTCTTGCTGTCACACTTTCCTAACATCAAGGTCTTTTCCAAGGAGTCTTCTCTTCTCATGAGATGGCCAAGGTACTGGAGCCTCAGCTTCAGAATCTGTCCTTCCAGTGCGCACTCAGGGTTGATTTCCTTTAGAATGGATAGGGTTGCTGTCTTTGCAGTCCAGGGGACTCTCAAGAGTCCCCTGCAGCACCACAATTCAAAAGCAGGCTTAGAGAAACACCAAAATTCAAATAAAAGCTAACACAACATTAGAGAGCGAGAGAGCGAGAGAGAGAGCAATAAGTCCAAGACATGGCAGTTATGCTGAACATGAGGCATTGGAAAAGACAATTCCAAGGTGATCTAAGGGAGGCTTACTTGATTCTTTTTCACTTGATTCTTTTTCACAGGACAGCTGGTCTATATGTTTTTCTCAGTTATTTTACAGCATTACTGTTTATTGTTCAGCAATTTGCAATACAAAAATTGTGGCTGGCCCATCTCACATTGACTGTATATATGATTTTTTGCTCCCAAATGAGTGGACACATCCCGGGCTGCTGCTGATAGTTTTATTGCAAGCCCAACGATTGGGCCCCTGGAAAACAGCTTCTACAAAGATAGATGACAAACATCTTAGAACAATATTATTCAGAGATTGTAAATGAAAACATTGAGAGAAATGCAGCAACAATGACTGAAACTGGGTTGCTTAGCACAGCAAATCACAAGGATGTTGGCAGGTCTTTGGTCTGAGTCCTGAGTTCAAGCCTTTGGTACCAACTCTTGAGTCCCAAGCTCTAAATCCAATCTCCCTTAAAGTGATCCTTCCAATTGTCAGGGAATCATACTGCACTAGCCCCTAAAAGTAGCTGCCCTACAGCTGGACCAAAAAGGTCTAGGTTGGGCATGGATCAAGGGTCAGGCTATACAGCACATTTCCCCATATGTTGTGTGATTGCTGGGAAAGAGACCACAGCGGACTGTTCCAGAAGTGGCCCAAATTATGATCTATTTTTCTGTATCCTCACACCCTAAGTCTATATCTGTTCTGTGTGATGCTGTAAGATTTTGCTGTAAGAGTAGCAGCCATCAATATTTATTACTTTAACCATCTTCCAGAAAAGTATTTCCCCATAACTGTAGCTGTTGGAGTGGTAGCTGTGTTAGTCCGTGCAAGCATATCAGCAAGAAACACAAACAAAAGAGATGAAAGGAAGAAAGACAAAGACATTGTGGCAGCTTTAAGGTGCCTCAATATCTTCTTCTTCTTCTTCTTCTTCTTCTTCTTCTTCTTCTTCTTCTTCTTCTTCTTCGTCTTCTTCTTCTTCTTCTTCTTCTTCTTCTTTCTTGTTGATATACTTCTTCCATAACTCCTGCATCAGGATAAACTATATGCCTCAGAAAATAAATAATTATCTTTTCCTCATGTATTTAATATTACATTTTCCAAGTACCACATTCCTTATTATGCTACATGTGGGTTTTTTTGTTAACTCCCACATACGCTTGAGTTCCTATTTGTCAGATAAAGAAAAGTTCAGAATAGTTGTCACTAGCAAATACACTGAACATATATAAGTGTCATATGACAGCTGAGTTATCCCAGTTCTGAAGTCAATGATAGCTACTAGACTGCTCTGTCAAAACGTACTCAGATTATCAGAAAGGGAGAAAAATAACAGTTCTAAACCTACAACTATGGAGATAAACTTCTCCCCTCTTCCCCCCCCTGCCAATTTTATCTTCATAAAGTTACTTTACCTAATTTAATAGTGTGTAACATATCTAATTATCTACACCAAACTTTGCTGGTTTGTTTTTTATATTTGTAGAAATAACGGCCGAGGGAAAAGAAGCAAATGTCCTGCCACCCATCAAATTTAGCAAATTTTAAAATATTGCCACTTACTATCATCTAACTTACAGGAAAAATAAAAAACAAAAAAAATCGCACTATAAAATTGTTTCCAGTAATCTCTTCTTGAATGAGACAAACAAGGCTTTCTTGGGCTTAAGGAATGAAGATGCATGTTGTTTTCCTGAGTAAACACTCATTAGGTGTTTTTTTTTAATAGGTTGTGGGGGTGGAGGCAGGGAGAAGAGATTCTAATGTTTCTAATATAATGACCTCTACAGTCACTGGAAAACTACAAAACAGATTTCTTCAGATCTCATCCACACATTGTTCTGAATGAAGTGAAGGAGCATATTATACCTGGTTAAAATGTTCCCCATACTAAAATAACAACAAAAATGTTGTTTCTGTGTGTCCAAATGTAATCTAATGTCTGCAGACATGAGGAAGAAAAGTTTAATACAGTCTTCTCCGATGTAGATCTTTTAGAAACAGCTAAATTACAATAATAATCATGTGCTGTCAAGTCGATCCTTACTTACAACAACCCTTTCCAATGTTTCCCCGGTAGAGAATATTCAAAAGTGATTTGCTATTCTGTCCATCTGGGGGGATCCTTGAGACTGTCCAAGGCCACAGAGGCTGGCTTTTCTTGGATGCACAGTGGAGAATCAAAGTCCCAAATTCTAGCTCCATGATCAGATGCCTAATTCCAGCCAGCTAACTCTAAATTAACTGAAATCAATCCATTAATCAACCAATTAATAGATTTAAAAGTGGATGATCAACTAAAAATTCTGTTCCTCATCCACTTGTTAATCTAATAGGCTGTGAAACATGAGTTTCTCAACATCCAGTTGGTACTCTCAAATTCTGCACTGTAGGGTCTTATGTCATTTTGCAAGCCAAACGAAATTCCCAAGGTCCCATCTCCTACTAAGGAACAAATTAAAACAAGGTAATTTGGGAGAATCTCTCCACAGAGCTTCCCCAGAGAGAAAAATACTTTCGTAGCCATTTTGAAGGGTAGTTCAGCTGCCCCCTCCCAAGGCTACAGACACAGGCGTCTGAGTCACCTTCCTGCCAATTGAAATTCCAGTGACAACATCTTGTACCCCTTTGAGTGTGGTGGAATTTTCTGGGGAAGGTTGTCAAATGAAACATTACTGCACGCAAATGTAAAGGTTACAAAATCATGGGCTAAAGCAGAAGCATTAGTCTGCGACAATGTTGGCGTCCTTCCAACTGTCTGCAGGAGCTGAAAGGAAGGGAAGGGCTAAAGGGGGGGGGACTACTTAAGTGAACAGCTGTGCCTGGAGACGGAGGATTTCTTTTCGGAAAATTTAAGGTGATACAATGGAAGCCTCTTTGCCTATGGTGTGGCCGTGCACATTCATAAGATTTGCTCTGTTGGACTAGACCAAAAGGTCTGCCTAATCCATTGGTTTGTTTCCGACAGTGCCCAGTGGCGCTGAGAGGCTAATAAAAAGAAATGGGCAAAAGTTGGACACTTTCCTCTGTTTATGTCCCTATCTTTCATTTGGAGGCATGTTACATGTGGATACAGAGATTGGATTAGTTATTATGGATAATAATACTGTTGAAATAAGTTGTCCTCCAGAAACCATCCTAATCCTTCTCTAAAGCATTTCAACCTGGTGGCCGCTGTGACACCTCAGAGAATTGTAAATTGCACATCTTGAAAGTACATGGCTCGGTTGTCCTCTTTGTGTGCAGGCTTTAAAGTGTGTGTGTGTGTGTGTGTGTGTGTGTGTGTGTGTGTGTGTGTGTGTTGAAACCTGCAAAACCAGCAAATTAAGTGGCTTTTTAAGGCAAATGAAGCAAACTATTTTTTTTCTACTTCCAGCAGATTATGCTGATGAAAACTGCTCTTCTAGAGTACTGCATTGAGCTGGGATACCCAAGTTTGGGGACTGGCTGTAACCATAAATGCACAATAGAGACGCGCGCAAACTGCCAGTTCAGTGGTCCATGCCTGTCTGTTTATTGGCAGAACAGGCATCTGGCACTTCCCAGCCCCGCCTCTTCCAGTGAGCACCCACTCGTAGGCTGTGCCCCAGCTTCCCTGCCCACCTTCTGCAGGAACTGCCTCTGAGTGGGCGCCCGCCAAAGCGGGTAGGGCTGGGAAATGCCAAACACCTGTTTAACCAATAAACAAACCAGGATAAATTGCTGAACCAGTTTATGAATAGAGAACGTGCCCATCTCTATTGCCTAGCCCTGCAGTGTGACCTTGCTGTGGTGGCGCATCCTAAATTATATCCTACATGGATTTTTGCAATGTACTCTAAGGGGGGGGGCACCTTTGAAGAGTGATCAGAAACCTCAGCTGGTCCAAAAGATTGCAATCAAGTTTCTGACAGGGCTCGTTACAGGGAATATATAATTCCTCAGGAACGTCAGGTCCACTGGCTGCTGGTCCAAGTCTAAGCCTAATTCAAACTGCTGGTTATTTATTTATTTCAAATAT